TGTCTAAACCCTGGAGTACGGGAACAGGCCAAATCTGAATTAGAAAATGTAGACAAACAAATGTCAGATTAAACTCTGAGTTTCTTGAACACCCCAATGAGAACACTTGACAGTTGTTCATAAATTCAAAATGTTAAGCTCGAGTTAATGGCTCAACGTGAACATAGTATAAAATACAAGAAATATATTATTAAAATGATAAAAGTAACATTGTTATTAAAATTTCATTATCATGATTTTGTTTTAAAAGATGAAATATGCACATATATTTAAAACTAGGTTTTGCCCGCAGCTTCGCCCACGTGCTGTTTGGTTTAACGCAATTATTTCAAATGTAACAAAGAAGGAAAGAAATAAATTCACCAAATCCATATTGCCACTTGACACGACTAAAGGTGCGAGCTCAAAAGTTGACCGCGAAAAAATACGCATAGAAAATACTTCAGCGAAGAAAGGCGCCTAAACCTAGTCGACGGCGATTAAAGACGCGTAAATTATTTTCGCGGTGAACTATGTTTGTAGGTGTAATAAGTATGTACTTCCCCAAAGAATTTTTGGGGAAATAATGTTGAAGTGGCAGTCCTTAATAATAATAATAGATTGGCGCTTACACATATGTTAGTGTTTGGCCGAGCTTCTCCTCCGATTTGTGGCGTGCGCCTTGATGTTGTCACACAAAGCGGAGGGACCTACAGTTTTACGCCGACTCCGAACGGCGATTGTATTTTTATGAGAAGCTGTTTTTCATGGCAGAAATACACTCGGGGGTTTGCCATTGCCTGCCGAGGGACGACCGCTGTTATGAAAAAACCTTTTTTCTATATTTTTGCGATGTTGCTTTGACCAGGATTTGAACCCAGGCATTGTGGAGTGGAAGCGCGCACTGCTTACCACTACACCACAGCGGCCGACAGTGGCAGTCCTTGGTTAGGTATAAATCTATGTATACGCGTCTTACTTCGCCGTCAACTAGGTTTACACTAGGTTTGTTGTAAATTAGGAAAAGTTTACTTATCTATTAGATAATATTCCGAGCTCATAGCATTGCTCCGCATTTATTGCCTTGCGACCCTTACCGGTCTCAAGGAAGTCTTGAGAAAAGAGTCCGGACCCTCGATCATTGTACAACTGTATTCTCATGTTAGTTGTGCGGTTCAATATTTCCATCTTTTCCCACAGTGGCAAAGCCTTGATGCACGCACTTATCACACAGGTAGCGTCTGCCGAAAATCTCCTGCTAGCTATACGACCATCTTCCCATGAGCAAACACCTGCCGCGGATATCTTGCAGGCTTCAATCGAGTGCCTCGACTGCATGCTTGTGTAACATCGTGCATTCGTCCCAATTTTTAATTAAATGCATTGTTGCAACATAGCCCCACCACCATTGTTTTCTCTAATGTTGCAAGTTGGTGTACCCTGACTCGCAATTCAGATGGAGCTTAAACATCGAGTGTGCAGTTCTTCCTCCGCTGAGCAAGGTAGCTGCTATCGCTGAGGCGATAACCGCTAGTGCAACATTTCTACACTTGTGAAACTGTTCCAGTAGCAAATTCAGGAGAGGTTCTGTTTCGGTGACTTGAGCCGTCAAGTTCGTGGTGCTATGATTTAACTCCCTGAATAACTCATTGGACAGTTCTCCCGTTGGTTGCGGAGTGAGCCGCCAAGTTCGTGGTGCTGTAATTTAACTCCCTGAATAATCATTGGAGAGTTCTCCCATTGGTTGTAAAGTGGGCATCCCGAAACCACACATCCGTTTTCTCACCATTGAGAAAACTTTATCCTCAATTAGGCTCAGAGATTCTTTAAAATATACACCGTCATGAGCTGTTTCTTGAAACCTGTGAGCGATGTCTTCATAAAAAGAGGTTTTATATTTTTCTCATTGTTGCAATGGGTTTGAAAGTCCGCAAGGCTTACTAAAGCCTCTTCCGTTTGATACTTGTATTTCAATACTTCATTTAACTTGTTAATTAAAATAATTTTAAGTTTCTAAATGAGTGGCAACTCTTTTCAAAGATATTCTCGAAAGAAAGCTTCTTTAACCATCTCTCGTTTGATACTTTGATACTCATATTAAAACATTTCGTTTAACCTTTTAAGTACATAAATTGATTTTGAATCTCTTAACTGGTGGCTTACTTCTTCAAAAATATTTAGAAATAAATACATATATACCACAATATAGTGGTATTGACAAATTGGTTCCACTATGCACTTAGTACAAATGCATTTCACTACCACTATAGAGTTAATGACTATAAACTTTTGAACTAAGGAAATGGGTATTAAAATCATAGATCGCCAAATTTTCCTAAACTTGTAAACTAGTGTAATTAGTCAGTGAAAGTGAAATTTGCGTTCCTTTACCGCTAACCAGATAGTGATATTGAAAATTCTATTTCACTATCACTATGTAGTGCTATTGAAATTGGAAATGCACTTTCACTAACCATATAGTGGTAGTGAAATTGAAATGCGCTACCACTAACCACAGAGTGACAGTGAAATTTGGAATGTACTACCACTAAAAAAAAAACAAAGAAAATTTCGATTTACTGCAATTTACCCAATCCTGATAATAGTTAGATTTTCATCACATTTTAAAATAAAAATACATTAACCATGCGTTTTTTCTTAGCGGCGTTCATTGATGGTTATCTTTTTTCTTTGACGTTTCTCCTCCCTTTACCAAAAATAATCGATAAATCCGAGCTGCATCTTTTTAATACAGGATTATTTTATAACTTGGGTTTCAGATGAGAAATTTTGTATTCTTAATTACTAGGGCAACCAAAAATATGCTCGAGCATACTTATACTTATCTTATACTCTATCACAAAATACATAAAAAGGAAATGCTAATTGTAAAAAGATAAAGCGTTTTAGAAATATTTGTTAGAGCATATTTCGGCATATTTCGCAATAAATGCATTTTTTGCATATTATAGAAATAAATGCTAAATTTGGTGCGTATTCAAAATAATTTTATTTTTTTTATTTCTAGGGCCTGTGCCAATTGATAGAACACTACTCTGGTTGGTAAATTTTTGACAACTGTGAAGTGAATAAAAATTTCCGAGCCCGTAAGGCTAGTGAACAATTTTACGGCAAGCATCACTTTTAATAAGTGCATGACATTCTGTTCTAGAATAATTGAAATCAGAAAAGAAAAATATTTTCCATATAAATGCTGCATTTGGATTGCTTAACTTGCTGGGCTTTTTTTTGCATCAAAGCAACTTTCAAAAACTTCCAGCAGTAAAAAGTTACGAATTGGCACAGCAGAAATGTAAAATTTTCTCACTATGGAACTTTTCTACTGATTGGCACAGGCCCATAATAAGTATTTTGAAATTTACCCTTCCGCTACTACGTAATTTGCGCCACTGAGTTATATTTGACAATTCGTCAAAGGTTGCATAGAGCTTTACACTAAAGAGCGAAATACGCCACACAAGCGGCTTGGCAAACCAAGTGAAATTTCCATTTTCCTCAAGCCATTTGCATTGTGTATGGGGGTGCCTTAAGGTTGGACAAGCTGCTTGTGTGGTGTATTTCGCTCTTACCGGGACGTTACACATTAAATTTTCCCCTTTCAATTTTCAATACACTCACAGTTTTCAATTCATCCGATTGAAAAATATACAGTGACTGAAATTTCTGCCTTTAAGTTCGTGCGTTTTCCATGTTTAAGAATATATTCTGTGATAACAAGCAATCATTTCTTTCTGAAAATTTATCCGAATATGTATTTTGTTATTTATTGCAACAAAAATATTTAAGTTAAATTTGCATTTTCGTTTCTATACATACATATGTGAGTGAATACGCTCTGATGTGTAATATTTTACTTTTACAGTATTTTTGATATCATTCGCGCATATTTATGCATAATTCTTATTTTATCATGCATATTTTAAGAACTTAAAATCACGTATTTTGGTTGCCCTTTTAATTACGCATTGGATAGTTCAGCTCGAAAAAGCAGATAATCTGGCCATAAGTATGTGTGTCTAAACAAAAAAATCGAATATAAGAATTTCGTGAAATTTATTAAGGGCAGCAATTTACCGGATATCCGATCGGATATCCGAATCCGGCTCTTATTTTTTACGTGGTATCCGGAATCCCGTTATCCGGCAAAATCTCTATCCGGTGCTTCCCAAGTACATATGTATATACAAATAAGATAATCCTGAAGGTATGTCGAACAATACCAATGCATTAAACTAACTTATCTTAATTCAAAGAAACGTTTTCGATATGGCATATTTTAAAAAATACATATATTCATATGTACATCCCGTTGCAAAATGATAAACCCAGTTCAAAAAGTATTGAAACAAATATGAAAGCGTAAACATGAAAAAATCTTCTTTTGTGACATTTTGAAATAGCGTGGTTAAATTTTTCTCCATTTAAGGGTTCAGAAACTATAAGAAATTTACTTTAATGTTCTATTCGACCCAGGGCCGTCGAGAGAAATCTCGGAGCAATTATATTGTAAAAAAAGTATAAAAAGTTATGGTTCTGATATTTCAGGCCCCTTAAAAAGCCCGCGTCCGGGGCGATTCACCCCTTTTCCCCTCGCTCTCGACGGTCCTGATTCGACCGTACCTATAACCTGCACTATGTTATGTCTCGGGTGTTTTTCCACTGTGTGATTAAACTTGCTCGCCAGGGCGACACAATTTTCTTTGTCAATGCGACAAAAACAAATATAGACAAGTAGTAAAGTTGATGCCGTATGTACATATGTAAGTATTGTATAATATTTAAGTATATGCACATTATATTACGTACTATACGCGTTAATAAATAAACAAAATTTACTTTCTCATGCACAAAATGGACAACTTAGCACATAAATATCCTTGTTATACATGTACATATGTTAATTTAAAGTGAAGATTTCTGCGCACTTAATGCATGTCTTATTAGCTAAAGTGGCTTTTTAATGTCCAATATTTCTTTTCTTCTTTTAATACATGTAAAAGGCTTTCCGGAAGTCATCGTATACCCGTTTAAACCTACTTAATAGGCGTAAGAAGGAGAAGTTGCCGGATTGAAGAAGCGATTTCGATATTGGTTAAAGGATAACCATTTAGCGTTAATTGAAACCAGTAGTAACAATCAAAAATAAAAAGAGAAGGAGTGTGGAAAAGGTGTGTGGGAAGTGCCACAGGGAATGTTTATACCTGAGACACTGAGAAGCTGCATGATTGAGACGGACGTATCTTCATATTTGCAAACATCATCCTCCGGACAGGTGCTGATTTTAAATTAATGAAAACAAAAATCAAAATATCATATTGATTGATAAAACCTAAACTGCCTTCAAAGCAAACAAGTATTATTTTGTGCCGAAATACAAATACAAATAGCAGAGTTAATAGATGCGAGTAAATTGTATGCGTTTTATGGAAAAAGTTATCAACACATAAAGATTACCTTGCGCAAAAAGAAGAATTAAACAGTTAAACTGAATTGGATCATCACAAGCAATCCAGCAAGCGAATAATTACAACCACCAACTACTACCATTGTTTTTTCTGCTTTAGTCCCTAACAATAACTCCTCGACCAATGCCACCACAAATAGATATGTACCACTACTATCTCTGCTACGATCGCAACTAATTCAATACTTACATATACATATATATGTGTACATGTCTAAAAATTTAACATATCTTCTTCCAAAAGTATCTGTGCTCATTTATAGAAAAAATCAGAGTCGCGCTTGGACTTCAGTTCAATTCATTATTATGAAAAGCATAAGTTCAAGCAAAGTACTCCTAACGAAGCATACGAAGTAATTAAATTCAAATACAGTAAAGTCACTAAAATAACTGTTTATGGACATGTTTTTATCTGTTTTTCCTATCTATCTGCTTAACTATTATATACGATACACTTATTCTATATATATGTGTGTGTTCTTTGTATCGATATCTGTAATTAAATGTTTAATCTTTGCAATCCGATCTAAATGTGCCCCTTTTGAATAATACACATAGAGTAGCATTTGTTTCACTGAATTATTCCAGACATGTTGTTTTCTGTTTGAAGATGGCAAACACACATGAACACCAATTGCAGTCAAACTTATTTATATGAAATATAAAAATACATAGTCATATAAAATACTTTTTAACAGCCGAATTCGCAATTGGGACTATTCCAATAGTTCAGTTATGCATACTTGGCGTTACATGAGAGTTGTCACATAAGAAATCTGTTAAATGAGCTTTGCGTGTAAGCGGTTACTCAACGCATAGCATTAAATATGTAGAAGTCTGTTGGGTTTTGATTTCTACGTAAAAATTGCATATCAGTGCAAAGTGTGCATAACTGAGCTATAAGTGAGTTATATACGTATAAATGAAAATATTATTGAAAAGGTATCAGATATGTCCCCATTACATTTTTTGAAAGTACTTATAAATTTTAACCTATGCAACATTATTGTTCGTTATAAAGAAGTTTGACTGCACCATTTTGTTTCTGCATTGCATTTTTTCGACGCAAAGAAGCAACGGTTCTAAAACACGTTTAGAGTTATATTTATAATGAAAATAAAGTCGATTCTAAAGTTAAAAAGCAAATTTTTTTATTGACAGATATCGCATTGAAAGTTATGTCAAAAAGCTGCTTTTAACTTTGGAGTCGACTTAATTTTCACGCGTCATTGGCTTTGTAACAACTTGTAATTGATTCAGTTCTGCACTCACAAGTAAAGCTCTTTTCTGTTCTGCTAGTCCCCTTTTACATGAGTCAATTGAAAGCAATTTTTTCTCATTATTTTAAGTGTTTTCTGTTTGCTTTAACACGAGTCAATTATTAGTAAAACCAAGTTTTTTGTTCTTTATATATACAAAATTATGTTTAATGAATACATACATATGGTTACCATGTTTACCGATTAACAGGCCTATTCTGCGTTGGTAACAAAAATTTTGTTACCGGTTAGTAAAGTTACTGTCAATTTTAAAAAACTCTTCTCGTATTCTCCATACTCTTGTAACCGGTAAATTTTGTTACCATCTCATGAGCAGGTAACAAAATATTGCCCCGTGAAATATGCAACACCGAATTTCAACAAAACTCCATAGCTGAATTGCTGAATAAATTAAAACGTTACCAAGGTAAATAGAATTGCGGTTGCAAGGAGTGGTTACAATTGTTAGTAAAAAAAAAATTACCTTGTTACAAAATGTTCGGTTACAAGCAGAATAGGCCTAGGGGGCAATATTTTGTTACCTGCTCATGAGATGGTAACAAAATTTACCGGTTACAAGAGTGTGGAGAATACGAAAAGGGTTTAAAAATTGACAGTAACTTTACTAACCGGTAACAAAATTTTTGTTACCAACGCAGAATAGGCCTGTTAATGACAATGGAAAAATATTTATGCTGCATAACAGTTATCGGACAACGTAAAACTTAAACATAACTCTTATCGGCGAAATAAAAAAATATTTCTCATCTAATAACTGCTGCGAAACAACTTTTTCGTTAAAATTCGGAATTCGGGAAAAATTTCAATTCGTAAAAAAAGCAGTTTTTTTCGGTCCTTTCTTATGGCACATTGCTGAATATGAAACATCGAAATTGGGAAGGAAAACTGAAAAGGAACACCAACAGGCAGACTTGAAGTCATAAATTGAATTCTGTGAAGGGAGACTTAAGGCGGATTCACCGTTCATGTCCGGACACATTTTGTTAGTAATTTTACGCGTTCCTTTCCTACTTTGTCTCACTGAGAGCGCGACTAAAATTTGCTGAACACTCTTTGTTCGAATCAAATTGATTCTGATTTTCTGTCCGAATGACTTGATGATTCGGGTTGCCGCTTTCTCCTTTATAGGCGTTTGCAGCGAATTGCATGTGTTATTTGCCCTCAAATTCGTATGTAGACAACAATATCATCAGTTGTTCGCTTCAGAACAAAATAAAATGTGCCAAACTGCACGGTGAACCGTGCTTCAGCACCATCTCCGGCAAAACTGTTTTGAGAGCAAATAAAAAGTTGTCCGCACACGAACGGTGAACCCGCCTTTATAACATAGGCAGACGGCAGAGTTGATCCGGATTCAAGTCGATAATATGGAATTATCTCGGGAATTACCTGCAGTTAGTACGGACTAAGTCCTACAGGGACATTTTCGATGGCAACACTGACTAATACGGCCAGCGTTGTCTATTGGGAATAAAAAAATAAACGATGCAAACAAGTAAGCAAACAAAGCAAATGAGTTTGGCATTCGCGGTAGCCGAGTTGTCTTAGCCGCCTACTAAAACTCAGTACGAGCCAGGTTCGATTCCCGGTTCAAGTAATTTCCAAAAATTTCTTTTTTATGTTTATTTTATTTATGTATGTATTATATTAACTTTGTTTTTCTTTTTAATTTTATTTCACGTTAATAATAATAATAATAATAACAGATTGGCGCTTACCCAATGTGTTAGTGTTTGGCCGAGTTTCTCCTCCAATTTGTGGTGTGCGCCTTGATGTTGTCACACAAAGGGAAGCGACTTAGACGGCGACTCCGGACGGCGATTTTATTTTTATTAGAAGCGGGTTTTCATCGCAGAAATACAGTACGGGGTTTGCCAATGCCTGCGGAGGGGCGACTGCTATTAAAACGACTTTTTTGTTTTTTTATTTTTTATGTTGGTCGAAAACTGGGCTTGAACCCAGGCCCTGCGGAAGGGTAGCGCGCATTGCTAACCACTACACCACAGAAGCCGCCATGTTGTTACTTCAAGTTAATTTATTTGAGGGATTCACAACGGTGTCATAAGTGTCGTATTGTTGTATGTCGTAAACTTTAAAAGCTTAAATAAATGTTTAGAGAACCTGAAACCACAATCAACTATTTTTGAACACTGCGAAAGTTTATAATATGACTTTGATGATACTTTGCGAGTCCCCGTAATATATTTTTTAGGCGTTTAAAGTTTACGACACTTACGACACCGTTGTGAATACCCCAATTGTTTAGTTTATTATACGTACATACATATATGCATACATTTTAATTTAATAATAATAATAGATAGGCACTTACAGATAGGTCAGTGTTTGGCCGAGCCTGTCCTCCGATTTGTGGCGTGCGCCTTGATGTTGTCACACAAAGGGGAGGCACCTACAGTTTTACGCCGTCTATGAATGGCGATTGTAGTTTTATGAGAAGCTGTCTTTCATTTCAGAAATACCCTCGGAGGTTTAAAGGCAAACAAAAAAACCTTTTTGTACACTTAATTCCTCACAAAAGCAGTTCATCCCCCGCTTCCCAATGTAAACTGAAATTCCCCACAAAAAACGGCCCATTCCCAGATTTCCCACGCAAACTGAAATTCCCCCCCAAATCCCCACGAGTTGGCTTCCCTGCATGCAACTATGGGGTAATTTGTATTTCAAATTGGTGGGCTTTTTTAACCCAGTTTAACAGCCAGTTTCACCAGATTCATTTAAGTGGAAATTAACTTTAATTAAATTTTTTATTTAATTCACATTTAAATTATTTTCAGTATACGAGATTAGCGATTCAATGTGATCATTATACAAATTTTACGTTTTGATCAAACCCTTCAAACAAATGTTACTTTAATGCATATTACCGCATATATTCACTTTTTGGTGTGCGTTTTACTAGTCTCTTACTGCACGTCTATACCTGCGATAAGATTTCGTATGTGAGCACCCGTAGCAGCTTTATACGTGCAGTTATCTTGCTATTGGGAGACACGCTTTCATTGATCTTGGTGGAGATTGCTTACAGTCTGTGGCGTAGCCAGGGGGAGAGAGATTGGGGGGGGTAGATCCTCCCCCTTCGTCAGTGAAATGAAAATTTTTATTTTTGAATTAATAGCACAATACTATTTTACCCTTCCGATTTATAATTTTTTTATTTCAGACTGATGACAAATTATCTTTAAATGAATATATAAAATTATCGGTTGGTGAATTGTGTATTTGAATATTTGCGAAATACACAGGCCATTTTGCTTAGTTCCCCACAGTGTTGGGAAATAATCTATAATCTATACAAAAACTGTACTTTTCGACTGTAAATTGTATCGACTTTTTAATTTGCTCATATGCATGCATGCATACATAGATTCCCTTCACGACCAATGCTTTGATGGTATTCACGGGAAAGTTTATGTAGGTACATTTACATTTTTTACACTTTTAACATAAATATCAAGACAGATATTTTAAGATACACTTCTTAACAAACAAATTTTTTTAAGTTATTAT